AGTATCTCTGGCCTACTAAAACCCATGACCTTCAACAGACACACTACATTTGCATCTACTGCAGTTCTTCTCCAGGCCCCTCTCTCCTATACAGGCACAAATGATTTTTAGCTTCCACAAAGTCCTACAGCCTGCAAGCTTTTCAGACCACAGGCCCCTACTATTTTTTTCCTCACTGGTTCTAATCAATTAACATAGCAAGGCATTAGAAGGGCAAATCCATCTGACTTGTATTTAGCCTGGATGTTGCCAACCCCCTGATCTCCACGACCTACCCTCTTCACCTGATCTCTGAACCCCTAACTGATCTTGGTTCTAGTGCTGCCCTTCACCCGCAGCCCTCAACCTCTTGTTCCAACCATTTCCCTCTCCACATCAAAAAGTCTCTGGCTTCCACGTTGCCCTTTTTACATACCTTGGCTGTCAGCAGCATTTGGCAGCTTGTTCTTCCTGCATCTTGCTCAAAGGCCAGCTGGTGGCAGGGCAGGTACAGACGCGGAGCCCCGGGCCCGTCTCTCCGCAGAGCAGAGTCGTTTTCAGGAGCGCTCCCTGGAAAGCAGGGCTTGATGCAGCACAGGCAACTCACCCATCTGTCACACACCAGCTCCTCTTTCCAACACTGCACGTGCTGCAGACAGTTATGATTAAAGCAGAAAAGAAACACAGCGCAGGTAAAGGCAATTTCAAAGAGAATTTGGGGTGCAACTACAATAACTAACTGCTCAATCATACGGGGTTTTGGAGAACCGTAGTGCTAAAGACAAGACAGTACTTTGTCTGCCGTACAGTTGTTCATGATGGAGGTAAATTCTAGTAACTGTTGCTGCAAAATGATGTTTTATCTAAGTATTACAAAACACTCTTGCACATCCCACACTTCCTTTCTCCAGACCTCCAGATGTTTGAATAATATACTTTGTTCATATTGAAACAGCACTCCACATAGCTTTATTTGTAGCCAAAGTTACAAGCAAATATACAAAACAACATTTTTGTTACAAAAACAAACTAAACCAATAAAACAATAAAACAATGCATCATGCTTAATAGTTTAATTTGAATACCATCTTCAAGAAAAGCTTATTCCATCAAACCTGAATGTTTCAGTACTCATTATAGGGTATTAAAGAATCTAAGTCACTTAAACATTCTAATATGATCAAGGAATTTCTATGAAGAATCATATAGCAGTTTCCATAGTCTAGATGCATATGGACAAATCCTATTTAGAAAAAAGTCAAACCATTTAAGGTTTGACTTACCTAAAGGAGAACATATTTTCCACTGTGGTTAAACTGCAAAAAATATATAGTAATTTGTGAACTTACAGGTTGTGATAAAACAAAGGCACATTTTAATGGAAATTCACATTTCAAGAAGGTGAAAGTTTTGTGCCTAAGTAACTTGTTCAAGTCATTGCAGCACAATCAAACAACTCTAATGGCACATTTCTGAACTTTCAATAGAAAGATCTGGCCTCTATTTCTTTAATCCAGTTTTAATAATTAATTTAGCTGGAAACAGGAGGTGTCTCCCACCCATACTTACAAATTGCAAGTTATCTTGCTTTCCCACTGACAATCGCGGTTGTCCTGTCAGATTTTGTTAAGTTTGGTCACTATGAGCACCCTCACGGTTTGGTCAAACGAAGTACAGACACACAGGCCCTTTTTGTCGGGGCTCCAGTCCAGGCTGGAAATCGGCTGTGTTGACAAAGTCACATTCTGCAAGAGGCTGACGGAACCTGCCACCCCCATCTCAGTTCCTTCCGAATCCTTCTTTGAGCGCTGAGCAGGGTATTCACTGGCAAGTAAAACATGCGTTTTAAATTTAATTATACAAACATCATCATCCTTTTCATTTTCATAAGCCCAAAGAAAAGGGTTTCCTCTGTTCTCAAGATAAGATGAATATCTTAGGAATAATGAATCATTATATCCAGCCACATCCTCAGTGCATTCTTAGTGAATATTTAATGCTGCGGCTCTTCACCATTCACAGAATCCAAAAGGGTGAGTGCTTTGGATCCGAAGGATCTCACTCACAGTCACATCATAGGCATAGGCACTGGACACAGCTCTTGAACGCTTTGTTCCGAATTAACCCTTCAGTAAAATGCCTTTGAATCCTGACACTTCTCTCCCACACCTCCGCATTTTTCAACCATTTGACTTTTGCCACAGGAAAGAAAATTACATCTCTCCCTATGAAACAAAAGGGTTACAGGGATCTGTATCACTGCATCATGATGATTACACTGTTTTGGCATGGAATTGAGAAGATATCAAGTTAAGAATTATTATAGGCTGGGCTTTCAATATCTTTCTTATCCATAACTGCTGCCATACAAGAAATTTAAGAAATCCACTTATCAGCCTGTTGACTGAAAATGTAATTGGATCTCCAGTATGTTAAGGTAAGTGACAAGGGCACAGTTCACCTATGCTGTCAATAATCACATTCTTTAGGGATTAATTTAGGCTTCATCATCCAGTACTGACATAGAAATCACTTTTCTACTGTACTTGTAAACAGAAATTTTAACTAGAACCTCTGAGCTTAAAAGCAGGACCCACTCAGTGCTTTCAGGAAGATTCTTTCTTAAAACAATATATGGTTGTTTTGATTTCTCCTGCTGTAAAATGGAGAGGGATCACTTACTATTTCCAGAGATGAAGGCTCCCAGCTCCTCCACTTGTCATAAATATATCTCTGTTCTGCGGGAGGTGCCGAACCTGCCACATGGTAGATTTGTGAGCCTGATGAAAAACAGCATTGTATGAAAGTGGGTTACAAATCAGCTCCATGAGAAAGAATGCAGGATCTTCAGCCACTGCTGCTTTCATGAAGTCAGCCCACATGCACTTATTACTTATTTTGGGATACAGTTAAGATGGAAATCTGTGTGCTCATCACAACTGGATATGCCCCTGCCAGGCTGAGAGCACAACTGAGCACAGAGAGCTGCAATGGGACCGAAGGCCAGAGAAGCCCAGGATCGGTCTCTGGAGGCAGGGGAAGGCACAGGAGGAGCTCGGGCCAGGCCAGCCCTGCGCCGGCCCCTCCTGCCCCAATACCCAAGCCTCTATCCAACATCACACACAACAGTTCTAAACCTGTATCGTTTCCAAATACTTCAGCAGCTTATTTCAAAGTTTGTCTCAGAGCAAGTTGTCCTCTGACTCCTCATACCTTTTCTGAAACAGAAGCAAAGCCTTTGGTCGGATGCTGAGTTCTCATATCAAAAACATGAAATTTTCCCTCAAGTGATGTGGCCACTAGCTTGTTCATATTTATATCTTTCCTGTCGAACTCCAAACTACACACCTGGAAATACAACAACACACCTATTCAACCTTGAAATTCAGCCACTGATAAAACACACATCTTTGCTCTCAGATTTGTAATCAGATTTGTAAATATAATGTAATATAAAGCAAATATAATATAATCATTGGTCACTTTTACAATAACAATGTCACCAGCTTGAAAGTATCAAAATTCCAAAAGAACACCTAAAACATGACCCAACATGTTACTCCCAAACCACCCAAGCTTACCCACCCAAATAGTTCCTGCTTTCAGAAGTGTAATCTTCTGAATTTGCAAAAAAAAAAATCCTTGCTATAATCCTAGAAGATAAGACTTCCAGGTAGATTTTCAATAGACAAAGTATCCTTTTAAGTTTTTCCATCCTGCATGCATGCTAGAATGAAAACAAGCTCATCTGATACATTACCCCATTCTTAATATTGGTCTCCCATCGCAGTGACATGGTTTTTAAGTCAAACAATTTAATGTCCCCGTTGTCATATCCAGCACATACAACACGTTCCTCTTGATTGTAAGCATTTCCTAGACACAGAGAAAAAAATAATCAGAGCACAGAAAACTCTCTTCAGAGGCTTTCAGAAGTGAGTTTGAGAAATCCTAGCTCCGCAATTTCAAAGTCAAGAAAAACATTACTATTGTAATATTAAGATTTAATGAATGGGCTGGTTTTCAAACCTAAAGTGTAGAGAAAATATAACTTCAAAACTGGCAATCTGTTTCTTCAAACAATATGAACAAAATCCCCATCCCTCTGCTTCCCCCGAGTACTGCTGAAATCACAAAGACTATATCTGGATGCAGGCGTCTCCCAGAAATGGTGGGCTGTCAAAGCACAGTCCTGTGTGGGGGCGGACCGGTTACAACTGGCTCCCAATTCAGTTACCAAACGCGACTGTCCAGCAGTCTCTCTTGCTCTCCCCCTCTACAGGCTCCATATTAGCAACAGGAGAATCCTTCTGCCTGGGGTCCCACACCTTCACCGTTCCTGCCAAAGAGCCACAACGGAGTTTGTGTTAGGGACAAACCATCACACTGCCTTCACTTTCCCACTGAGAGACGGTCCCCAGCCACCAGAGCTTGGAGACTATTTTTTGGAATAACTGCAAAGACTTTCAGAGTAGATTAACTCACCATCTCGACTGCCAGTCACAATTTCCGGTGCACCTTCGCCAATTCCTAAGCCACCTACACCATCTATACTGTTCACGATTTCCTTATGAGCTTTCACAGAATACACTGGTATCTCAGGAGCTTCTAAATTCCTAGGCAAGAGAAAAAAAGAAGAGATAACATGGCACTTCCCCTGATGATCGGGGTTGATATAAAAATGAGTGGAAACATGGCCTGAGCACAGCATGTAAGAACTCCTTCCACGGCAACAACAAAGCACTGATATCAACAGCAAGGACCTAGCGTCTTCCTCTGATGTCTTCTTTGGTCATTAATTTGGATTGAGCTGAAGGTTTTTGTTCAGGTCTGGACTTCCCTTTTCATCCAGCCACTTGTGGGATCCTCACAGTCACGCACAGGAACCGACCTTTGTGGGAGGCTCAAAAGTAACCACACTGCGGATCAGAAATACTCCCCAAACCCATTTGCTCCCAATAAGGATGCTCCCCCATCTGACAGCTGTTCCTCCAGTTCCAATAAAAGCTGCACCCACCCAAGTGTGCACCTCAGGCTCTTTCCCACTGGTTCTTGAGCTTTGCAAGTCTTTACTAATATTATTTTGATTTTTATTCCTTTGTTAACTATCAACCCATGTCATTGTCAGTATTCCAACAAAGTAGAATCACCAGTTCCCTGGCAAGAGAAATAAAACAGGAAAAAAGGAGAGTCAAAAGAAAGTTTGTTGTGTGTGTTTAGTTTTTGTTTGTTTTATATATATACATATATAACTTTCATTTACCTACCTGAAATAAAGAGACTAAAAGATGCATGTAACCTAGCCATGACATTTATGTTGTAATTAATCTCTTATTCATACTCACACATCCATCTAAAAGCCTCTTCACAAAAAAAAAAAAAAAAAACCACCCTTTTCCTAAAGGAGACTAAATTTCCTTTGGAAGCTTTTACAGATTTATGTAGCTGAAAATGGAAGATGTAAATGAAACCATGTTAACTTAAAGCGCAGCGCTGTCTCCTTGCATGCTGTGTGAGCACAGGGGTGGCCCTAGCCAAGCAGGCCTGCGACTGGGCCGCACTCAGAGCGGCAGGGACAGCAATTCCTGCACAGGGAGAGAGGCAAAGCCCAAACACCGGCTTCAGCTGAACGTGCATTCCACCACGTGGGAACGCTTCGGAGGAAAACGTGTTCTTACCATACATTGAGGTTTCCACCAAAATCTCCTGTAGCTAAGTACCTCTGCTGCAGCGATGTAGCCCCAAAAGTTCCACATTTTAGAGGTTTGGCCTTTTCAATCTTAAAAAAAAAAATAAAAATAAAAATAATAAAAAAAGCTTTGTGTCAGCGCACGACACTAAGGGACCATAGCCTGCACAGGCGATTCCCGAAAGCCCACTCGGTTATCGGGGATTTCAGTGGAACTCCCACGGATTATTTGGCATTTTTACTCCCCTAGGGCATCTGGCCGCGCTGCTGCAGCCCCCGGGCCCGGGGGGGCCAGGAGGG